GGTCATCACCCACCGCCTTGCGGTAGACCCTTCGGCCAAACCAGTGCAGCAACGGAGAAGACCCCTCTCAGCCGAGAGAAGGGAGTTCGTGAAGAAGGAAGTATCTATGCTCCTCTCCATCAAACACATTAAGGAGGTAAAATACCCTTCTTGGTTAGCGAACGTAGTCCTCGCACAGAAGCCCCCTACCTTCCGCATGTGCGTGGATTACACGGACTTGAATAAGGCGTGTCCTATGGACCCTTTTCCCTTACCAAACATTGACCAATTGGTGGATGAGACCGCCGGATGCGAGATCATGTCGTTCCTTGACGCATTCCGCGGATATCATCAAATCTACATGCATGAGGAAGACGCCGAAAAAACTGCCTTCATGACACCCGAAGGCATCTTCTGCTATCTTGTGATGGCCTTCGGCCTAAAAAATTCAAGCGCCACCTACACACGCATGGTGGCTAGGGTCTTTCAAGCTGTCCTAGGACGCACTATGGAGGCTTACGTTGACGACATGATCGTCAAAAGCAAGAAGGCAAGCACTCACGCCGACGACCTCCGGGAGATTTTTGCCCTCATGCAAAAATTCAACCTCCGGCTAAATCCAAAGAAGTGCACCTTCGGCGTGCAGGGAGGGAAGTTCTTAGGCTACATGGTCAGCCGAAGGGGTATCGAGGCCAATCCCGAGAAAATTCAGGCCATCATCAACATGGAGCCCCCACGCAACGTCAAAGAAGTTCAGCGGTTGACGGGTCGCCTGGCAGCCCTCAACCGATTCCTCTCTAAGTCAGCCGAGAGGGCCCTCCCCTTCTTCCAAATCATGAGAAAGACAGCGGGCTTCCAATGGACATCTGAATGTCAAGAGGCCTTCGACGAACTTAAGAAGTACCTCTCTTCTCCCCCAGTGCTCTCCAAACCGAAGGTGGGGGAGACTTTATACTTATATCTTGGTGTTAGCCCTTCGGCCATCAGCTCAGTGCTAATCCGGGAGGAAGACGGCGTCCAACACGCCATCTTCTACGTCAGTAAGACCCTCCGGGAAGCCGAACTCAGGTATTCTCCCGTCGAGAAGACGGTGCTAGCCATCGTTTGGACCGTCAAGAAGCTTGGCCACTACTTTAAGGCTCATCCGGTCCAAGTGCTCACTCATCAACCCCTCGGCGCCCTCATGAGGAGCCCCACAAGTTCCTCCCGAATGGTGAAATGGGCCATCTTCCTCAGCCAATACAGCATAGATATCCGTCCGAGGCCTGCCATCAAGGGCCAAGCCCTGGCAGACTTCGTGACGGAATGCACCGCCAGATCTGCGGTGGATGAGGAGCCTTCGGCACCCCTTGATGAGTGGTGGACCCTCTATACCGATGGCTCCTCGGCTACCAAAGCATGCGGAGGGGGAGTAGTCCTCATTACACCCGAAGGCTTCCGCGCATATTACGCCATCCGCTTCTCCTTCAAAGTCTCCAACAACGAGGCCGAATACGAGGCCCTCCTCTGCGGCCTTCGGCTGGCAGCGAATCTGAAGGCTAAGATGATCCACGTCAAGTGTGACTCCAAACTTGTCGTGGGTCAAATTTCCGGGGAGTACGAAGCCAAAGAAGGGAGGATGAAACAATACAAAGAAGCGGCTAAGGAGTTGCTCAAGGTGTTTGAGGCACATTCTCTTACCCAAATACCGAGGGCTCAAAACTCCGAGGCCGACATTCTATCCAAGCTCTCGGATGAATCCCCCGAGCACCTCTCAAAAATTGCAAGAATTGAGGAACTTAGCCTCTCAAGCATCCACGCGAGCCCCGTTATGAACGTTAACCTGAGGCCGGAGGACTGGATCTCTGACATCATCGCCTTCATCACCACAGGGCAGTTGCCCCAAGACGAAGCCCGCGCCAAATTAGCAAAACTGAGGGCTCCCAGATACACCCTCGAAAACGGGAGGCTTTACAAGAGATCTTACAACGGCACCCTCCTTCGGTGCCTTCACCAAGATGAGGCCGAAGCCGCCATGGAGGAAGTGCACAGTGGCACTTGCTCAGCTCACCAGGGACCCTTCTCCATGTCCCGAAGGCTCATAGTTCAGGGCTACTTCTGGCCCACGATGGCTAGGGATTGTGCTGATCTAGCCCGAAGATGCACCGCGTGCCAACACTTTCAGAAGGCCCCCGGCAGACCAGCGGTCAACTATGCTCCCATCAGCACCGCTATACCCTTCTCCAGATGGGGGATTGACTTAGTGGGCCCTCTGCCGAGGGGTACCTCCAACAACAGGTACATCATTGTGGCCATTGACTACTTCACCAAATGGGTAGAGGCCGAACCCCTTGCCAGCATCACTGAAGCCCGGTGCCGCCACTTTGTTCTCAAAAATATTCTCACGAGGTTTGGCGTCCCCCAACAAATCATCTCTGACAACGGGACTCAATTCGAGGCAGCCCCTTTCTGTGCCCTCCTGGAGGCATGGGGCATCAAACACACCTTTTCATCCGTTGCCTACCCCCAAGGCAACGGGCAAGTAGAGAACGCCAACCGAACCCTACTTGAAGGATTGAAGAAGAAACTGGAAGCCGAAGGGGGAGGCTGGGTAGAAGAGCTACACAACATCTTATGGGCCTACCGTACCACCCCTCGGCGTGCAACGGGCGAAACACCCTTCTCCCTATGCTATGGCTTTGAGGCTAAGGCTCCAACAGAAGTGACCCTTCCTACCCGAAGGGTGGAACAATATGAGCCCGAGGTCAACGAAGCCAACATGGCCCTCGACCTTCATCTCATCTCGGAACGCCGAGAGCAAGCTTTCCTCAGGGCCGAAAACTATAGGAGACAAGTCAAAGGCTACATCGACGCCAAGGTCCGCTCTCGGGAATTCCAGGTGGGAGACTACGTCCTCCGACGAAGGGAGGCCAGTCTACCCACCGAAGGAGGAAAGATGGCGCCCAAGTTTGAAGGCCCCTACATCATCTCAGCCATCATCAAACCAGGGACATACAAGCTTAAACGTCCCAATGGGACGGAGGTCCCTAGACATTGGAATGTGCACCACCTCGTCAAATTCTATCAATAAGGCATGAGCGGCCAAGCCCTCATCCTCAGCAAGTGTAAATATCAATGGCCCAAGGCCCCATCTGTTTTTGAAGAATAATCAAAAGGCCAAGCCTTCATCACCTACATATTGTACAATTGGCCCAAGGCCCCCCCCCCTTCTCTCCTACAAATGAGTGGCCAAGCCCTCATCGCTTCACCAAAATAGGCCCAAGGCCTCTCCCTCTCATGAGGGGGAACAACAATTTAGGTACCAAGTACCAAATGGGAGACTACGTCCTCCGAGTACACTTGGTACCAAGTACCAAGTGTATGGGTCACCCCCATCACCCTTTGAAAACACTAAGTGTTTTCTCAAACTTTTACATACTCTCCTAAAAAAAAAAAAAAAAAAAACGGGGGGTGCAATACCCCTCGGCTCCGGCTGGTACCAAGTGCCCCCGGCTATTTGTGTCCCACACACAAATAAAACCCTTCCCAGGAACGCTTTCCGCGCCATCCCCCAAGGGGAGGCAGGCAACGGACCATGTCCCGGGCCCAGGATTCGACTTCCACAAACGAAACGCTCCCCGCGCTATCCCCCAAGGGGAAGCAGGCAACAGACCATGTCTCGGGCTGAGGGGACGACTTTCAAAACCGAGGCGCTTTCCGTGCTATCTCCCAAGGGAAAGCAGGCAACAGACGATGTCTCGGGCCGAGGAAACGACCCTCAAACCCTTCGGGATATCGGAAGGTCATTCCCGAAGGGGGAGCCGACGGTTTATTCCGTCGCCTCCCGTATAGGCCAAGCCTTTCCTAGAAACCAAGTTTCTAGATGCCTCTCCTACATCATTTAAAAAAAAAAAAAGAGAGAGAGAGAGAGAGAGAAAGATGTGTAGGGGGGAAGGAACTCCTTGGATGATATTCTTCCCGGAGGCTCAACACTTCGGATATCTATTCCCGAAGGCTGCTACAAATGCACAAGAAAATCTCTCAACAACAAGTCATCTGACTACATAGCCGAAGGCTTCGCTATATGAAACCTTGGAGTACAAGATTTCCACCGGAGGCCCAAGAAGAAGGCTCACTAAGCAAAACTTCACCTAAATTTGGCTAAGGCCGAAATCCGGCTGGATAGAAGTCAACTATGTGACATGCCGAAGGCTCCACAAAGTTCAAAGGCAAGCTAAACCTATATCTGCACAAACCGGAGGCCTCATACCGAAGGCAGAATGTCACCAGGCTCATTCAACGATAAAGAAAATTTTCTAAGTCCACACATTGGCATCCTTTGGGAAACACTCATCGAACTGGGGGGCTACTCACAAGATCTGTTGGAAACACATCTCAGAATTTCACCAAGTCCATAATCTCGAATCCCTCGGCAACCATATGTACCGGGGGCTCAGGCAGTTCCCACGCTCGAAGGTTCACTACAGCACCTATTGAAACTTCGTGAAAAAATGGCTAAGTCCACAGACGGGAACCCTTCGGGGGGCTACACTGCCAATCAAGGGCCCAGCATTTCCGGGGGCATAAGATGCAATTTCATTTGGAAAATTTCTTGAGCCTAGTTCATTTTGGCCCTCGGTCCTATCACTTCACCCCGGAGGCATTACAGGGGTCCTTTACCGAAGATTTCCAATGAAATTTTACTTAGATTACTTTCACAGGCTCTGCTATACAGCCGAAGGGTTTTGACGGAAGTCTTACTTAGAAAAATTTCTGTCCTCCAAAACAAGCCCCCGGCAACCCCAATATACAACTGGGGGCTCATGATTGGGTTTACACTTAGAAAAATTTCTAAGTCCACAACTACAAGCCCCCAGCGAACCTATACTATAACCGAAGGCTCGTTGACAAAAGTTCTCACTTAGAAGATTTTTCTAAGTCCACAAACTGGCGGCCTTCGGGAAAGCAGGCAAAAGAAGGAAAGAATACATAGTAACGAAAGGCATACATTCATAAGGAAAAGGAACGAAGGCAAACAAAACTTGGAGAAAAATGAGGCATTCATTCATACAAAAAGCCCGGAGGCACATCATTCATTCAAAACTAAATAATTGAAGTATAAGAGATATCTGTTTACAACATGAGGCCGGGGCCGGAAGCCTATTTAACTATTACAAGTTGTGCTTAAACAAATTTTAAACTTGAGCATTCTCGGCTACGTCGTCCCTCGGCTTAGAGGATGCATCGTCCTCCGCATCTTCCTCACCATTAAGGCCATACTCCCTCATCAGCTCTGAATCGGCAAGCTGAACTCTCTCTTCACCCTCCGGGAGGGGGATTCGGACATCAGGTTGCCGGGGAGGGAGCCCATATACTGAAGGGTCGAACTCGTCCTTGGGGATGCCGAAGTGCTGGGCAAGCTTCCGGTATATCAGACGCTGGGTGAAGAACTCGCCTCCATCGAAATAGTCTTTGCCTCTCAGGGCCATCCACTCGGACCCGGGGCCCTTCACCCAGGCGCCAACGCCTTGCTCGATGACCGAGTCCACCCATCCCTGGTGCTCGTCGGACTTCCACCCCTCGGCAAGGAAAGCAGCAATGGCATCCTCTTTGGCTTTGACCACGGCCTCGGTCTTGGCCTTCTCGGCCTCATCAGCGGCTTTCTTTGAGGCCTCTGCAGCTGCCTTCTCCGCTTCAGCCTTGCCCTCGGCCCGAGCCTCAGCCTTAGCGGCCTCCAACATATCCCCCGCCTGCCTCAGGGCCTCCTCCAGCTCAGCCATCTTCCGGATGGCCTCGGTATTCTTGGCAACAAGCTTCCTAAGAGCCTTATCGTCTTCCGCCTTCCGGAGGCGAACTTGTTCCATCCTCCGGAGATATTCTCCGAAAGCCAGGCTAGCCTGCAAACAAGGAAAAGACACTCAAAGTCAGAACATGTGAAGGAAAGAACGCAAAGGTAACAAATTGCAGGAGATCCAAGAACTTACAGAAACCGAGGCCTGGAGGGCCTTGACTTCAAGAGCCTCGTCATCGAACCGGCCGAGGGTAGACCGATCCAGTGGTGGCGTGGCACCCCTCAGGAACTCCCTCGGATCGAGGGTGCCATGCATGACCGCAGTCCCCTTCTTGAAGGAGAACTGCACAGTCTCCTGGGGCCAGGCCCCCTCATCGAAATCCTCCAGGGGAATAGATTCCGAAGCCTGGAAGGGAGATGGCCCTTCAGTGATCACCAGGGGGGCATCTTTGGTCCCCTCGGTCTTTTTCTTCTTCTTGCTCTCCGGAGGCATGACGCCCTTCCCGGTATTTTTTCTCTTCAGCTCCCCAGCTTGGGAGCCCCCGGCTTCAGCAACGGTGTCCATGACAGCGGCTCCCTTGGGGTGGCCCTCACCCTCCGGGACCATGGAGGCCCCGGCTTTCTTAAGGACCTCGTCAACAAGGGGTTGGTTCGAGGACCCCTCCTCCTTCTTCTTTTTTGGCACCTTGGCCAGCTTTTTAGACAGACGGGCGAAGGCCTGAACGTCCATAATGTCACCTGCAGCAATTCGGAAGGGGTTAGAAACGAAACAAGTAAAATGCAGAAAAATTCTAAGTACCAATAACAAGGGCCCCCGGCTACAACCTCCGGCGTTTTGGTATCCGCGGTCAATCAGGGGATACTTCTCGTCCTTGTCCTCCGGGAGGCGATAACGACGGAAGCCCAACAAATATAGCTCCTCAGGCGACGCCGCCGCCTTAATGGCAATCACTTTATCTGAACCTTCCGGCTTCTCAATGAGCCTCCTCCCGGCCTTATCGAGGGCTGCACTTCCTACCTTCGGGTGCCTCTTGAAATGATTGTTAAGAGCCCCCGGGAATGGATTCTCAGCCACCCGGATGTAGCAGAATTTCTCTTTCCATTCCTTATGAGACGAGGGGGTCTCAGAGAAGAGCTTCCAGGCCGGCACCTGCTGCAAGTTGGCATACCCCCCGGCGTGAGAGTGTCCTCCCCGGCACAGGTTGAAGGAGAGAAAGAACTGGTCCAGTGAAGCGGCTATCCCCCGGCTTCGGCAGAGAGCCAGGAACCCCGCCAGGTAGTAATGACTATTGGGTTTGAGCTGGCAGGGGGCCAGTTTCACGTGCTTCAAATACGCTACTACAAACGGGTGGAGCGGAAATCTGAGCCCTAATTCCACCGAGAGCATGTGCACCGAAAAACATCCCTCGGGGGGATGGGATAACAGGTCGTTGGGCCCCGGCTCCACTACTTGTGCCGACGGCCCCACAAGGACTTGGAGGGCTAGACATTCGGCCCCCGACGCTGTGGTCCTCACCTCAAGGGCCGTTGTGTCCAAATACGAATGCCCCTCAGGGATCCCGACTGGCTGCCCAGCGTCCACGGCCGCTTGCTTCTTCTTTGGAGCGGCCCTCAGCTTCTTCTTCTTCTTGGCGGAGGCAACACTCAGAGGCTCCGGATCTAAGGGCCGGGAGCTACTTGCCTCATCGGTTCTGCGAGGGGGGAGCATAGCCACGGTAACCCTCTGCCTTTCACTCTCTTCCGCCTCCTGGGCAACTTGGACCGCAATGGCCATCTCCTCGTCTTCGATTACTTGCTCGAAGTCTTCAGCTTCCATCTCCACTAGGAGGCGGCTCTGCACTTCCTCAGCTACGGCCAGATCGTTAGTTGTCGAGGGCTGTTCGCTCGAAGACACCACGTCAGAAATGCTTTCGGTTTGAACCGAGGGATCCCTCGAGATATCTTGGGAATCACTCGCGGAAGACATGAGAATAGGCAGGGACGAGATCCTAACCGGGGGGCTCTAAATTGTTTTTAACACTTAAACAAGGAAGGAAAGAGCAAAACCTACTAGAGAACTCAAGAACAAGAGAAGGACTGACCTCGGAGAGTTGGGTTTGATCGAGGGCAAGAGTTTCTCTCTCTAAAAATTTCAGCAGAGCTTCGCTAAGATTCGGAAACGCACAAGGGGAATGACTCAGGTTCTGGGGTATTTATAGGCAAATGGGCCTCGAGAACTGGGCCTCGATTTGAAAAGCCCATCATTTCAGGCCGCCGGTTCAGCCAATGGATGACAGCCGCTCCCTCCAACCAGTGAGGACACGCCACGTCAACCCCCCTTCCAACGGCTATATTGCAACGGCTATATTTCAGAAGCACTGGAGTACCCTCGAATGATAGCCTCCGGCTTTCACTCCCCGCAGCCTTCGGACAACGAATTCCGCTAAGCGCCTTCGACCATGTAGCAGCATAAGCCTCCGGCTCTTCAAAGCTACCACCCCTTGGAAACCCAACAGCACATTATAACTCCTTCAGCCCGAACTTGCCTTCGGCCTAAAGGAGTGGGGGACTGGGATACACCCCTCGGGGATCATACATAACAAAAATTTCTTCATGCAACAATTTACAATTGACACATACGGCCTCCGGGCAAGCATCAAAGTACAACCCCTCGAGTACATGCTTCAACATACCCTTCGGCAATGGCAGAATATCACAAGTTTTCCCCGAGTCACTTGCGGAGATAAAGCAGCCCTCATCACCACACATGCGGGCAACACACCTAAGTTTTCCTCAGAAAACCCTCGACATGTGAGGGACTGAGGGAAGCCTTCGGCTAACAGCAGAAGATAAGTGATCAGTCAAAGGCACCCAACGAAACGATGGAGCTTTCGGGAGAATCAACACAATTACTCCTTTTTCCCTCAAGTACCTTTCGGCAAAAGGAGTGAGGGACTCCTGATGGAGTATATGCCCCAGGAACTCCCGGCCCATAGACTCCTACTTCTCCCACACAAGTCCATTGAGCCCAGAGAACAACTCAGGCCCAAATGCAACGGCCCGAGCCTCAAAGTAGCCAGGAATGCACACTGGGTTGCCTTCGGCCTTCTTGGCCGAAGGCTCCAAAACTCACAGGATAGCCTTCCCTGGCATAAGAAGCTACTGGGAGAAAACGGCGAAAAATGTGAGCCTTCGGCATCATCAAGCCCTCGACATCAGAGAAGCCTTCGGCTGAACCAAGCCTTCGGTCACGCAATGCCTTCGGCTACACAGGGGTCCTGAGTCACATGGAGCCCTCGGCTACACAAGGAGCCTTCAGCAAAACACGCTCAATCATCGAAGATTCCTTTTGGAGACAGCCAACCACCGCATTTAATGCCACGTCACATCCGCCAACCGCATTCAATGCGGTGAACGTACCACTGCCGGTGCCACCCGGCTGATGTGACCCTTCGGCCGTCGGATTACTGACACGTGTACTCTCATCGCATTTATTGCTGCTATAAATAGCAGCCCATTTCTCCTTGTACATGATCTACATCTCAACTCCACACGCTGAGTTCATTTAATAAAATCGACTCTCTCTCCTCCTATTTACTCTGACTTCTCTCTAGTTATTTCCCACAAATAACCCCTCGGATAGGATAACCCCTCGGAATGTTGTATTGAAATAAGTGTTCAACAATGTTTAAATTTACATTAAATGCATATTTACAATGTTATGATTTCAACGTATTTGTTGGATGTTTTTGATCTTTTAAATAATGCTTAGTACTCTCATTTTGACCATAATATTATAAGTGTGTTTCGTTTAATGCTTATTTATATCAGTATTACATGAAGATAGATGATGTCATCAATTGATAGTGGGATTTGAATTACTAAGCACACATAAATTTGAAAGAAAAATACTCAAACCATGCATCGCACGGGTGAGTTTACTAGTAACAAAAAATAAGTAAGGTTTAACCCTCCAAATTACACAATAAAAAAAAATAAGTAAGGTTGTATTGATTTTGATTCAGCCCACCAAATTATGCAATAATCAACTTTTTTACCTGTATTTATAAGAATTTCACCGGGTTTTTTCCAAACAGGAATGAAACATTAAAACCGCATCATTGTGAAAATGTATAGTATTGAGTTTGTAGAATATGAGAAAAAGATCCATGTATGGCTTGGATTAAAGAATAATTAATACTGTCTTAATCTTGTCAAGATTGTGTCATACAAAATGCATACTTACATAATATTTGTGTGATTCTAATCAAATACTCAAACTTATTTTTGTAGGTAATCACCCCATAAACTCGACCCCCGATCCACCCAAATTTTAAAAATGATGTAGTCCTTAGTTTTTAGATAAAAAATTCCATTTAAAATTTTATCGACTCAATACTAGGTTCTGCCTTGTCCTTTATCCAAATGTGGAATAGAGTAGTGTATATCAATTATCAAATCATTTGAACACATATTAGCGTTTTAAAAAATTTAGAAAAACTAATGAATAGATCATATTTATGTCTATGCAATATCTAACTTTAACACTCAAAATCTCAAAGAAGAAATTTGAACAACACAAAAGCATCGCCTGATTTTGGATTTATGGAATCTAAGGCAGTCATAGATCATTATTTTTACGATAACATCCACAGAGAAGTTTATTTCTAGCAGATTAAGCAAAGACAAACAGTTTCCCAATAATCAGGGTCCAGGGATCACTAATGTGGGATTAAACAAATCGGGTCATATAACTACAACTGACCCGAATTGATCCATTGATGGGGCCATAAAACTGGCTTCTAATAACAGACCAAAATAATCAGTAACCAATTCAGGAAGAAGACACTAGGCGTTTGGGATTGACCTTCGTAACCGGCGCAATTCCCAATTTGCCCCCATTCACGCAATCGAATCCACATCCGCACTGAGGACTCTCGTAGAAATTGTCGATCGTGAAGGAGGCGGAAGCGATTCCGACGGAAAAGTCGATCTCGTCGCCTTCGTTACTCACCTCGATGATGTTCACCCAGAAGAAGAGTATCTTCACCTGCACGCCGCTGAGATCGGAGAGTTTGCCCTCGGAGATCGTCCCGGTGATGGTGCTCTTGTACTTGAGCTGGTATCCGTCGATGGTGAAGCTGCAGGAGCCGTTCAAATACACAGAGAACTTGCCGGTGCTGGAGTCCAGCTCGTAGCTTGTTACGCCCTTCGGGAGGAGGCCGACCGGGAAGCCGTACTGCCGCAGGACATCGTACACCGTTAGCGAGTCGTCGCCGATCGCCGGCGACACGGCAGAGAGGATGCAGAAGCAGGCGAGGAACGCGGATATGAGTTTAGCGGATGGGGCCATTTTCTCGGGTCAAAGTTAGGGCTTAATTGTGAAGAAAAGGGTAGAAGAAACGATGGGTATATGAGTGGGTCTACCCAACTATCGGTCATTCAGGGCAGATTGGTAGTTGGGATCCAAACGTAAATGGAAGGGCATTCTAGCTTTGTTATGAGTATTGATCTCTCTTCTCTCTTCCACATCATTTCCCATAAAAAAAACTTAATCTCTTTTAAGTTCTAACCTATCATACTTTCACTCTACTATGTTGACTTAGGTCACTTAAAATTTGTACATTCCATATCCATATTTTTGGTATATTCCACCATTATTAATTTATATAATTTGATAAAGAAATATAAAATTCACATTTGACCCACTATAATTTATTGTTGACATTGTATCTAGTTAGAGAACGAGTTGGATCCGTTTTTCAGAGGAAAAAATATTCTAAAACAGATAAAATAAAATGCAAGAGGGTAAGAAATGGTAAATTTGGAAGTGACTAAACATATCATTCATTGGTCTCTATTTATAGAGAAAAAATTATCTGATTTTTTGGTGTAATCTTTTTCTTACAATAAATTAAATTTAATCAATAATAAATGGAATTTGAGAGTGTGGGGATGTTTGATAAGGTTGGTTGCTTCATTCTAAATTAAAAAGCCACATGACATTTTTTAATTGGTTAGTCACATGCCTCCTCTAATTTTTTGTCAGATCCCATATGTGAGCTTCCATGTTGATCGATCAACCTAGTGACCTCCCATAGTGGGGATTAAGTGGGATTAATTTTTTTTTGATTCCCAAATGACCACCCATAGTAGATGCTCTAAGTGACCCGGTCCCCGAATTCTGCAGTATAAAAAAGTATATTCTCGATCTGAGTAAAAATGTTTACAAAATTCAAAATAAAACCTTAATGTTTTTATTTAGTACTCCATATATAGAAATAATTATTGTTATGTTTAGAGTCTGATATTGCAAAATAGGAGTGGACAAATCGGTTTACGGTTCGGTTTTCTTCGGTTTCGATTTATTCGGGTTGGGAGAATATGTACCAAACTAAAATGTAATTTTATCACTCCAATAATCAAAGCGAGATACTGCACATACAAAATGGCACTATTAAGAGTGTGTTGCATAGTTGTTATGATTCTGGAAAGCTGAGCAATAATTAAGCAGCTCTACTCATAAAACTTAAACATCCGTCAAAAGCAAGAGAATTAATTGGTCGAACGATCAAAATCAGACC